CCTCCCCAGTGATGACTGAGTTGTCCTATGTGTCATTGTGATTGGTCCTGGTGGCTTCCATCAGCCTTGCCAGAGCTCTTTTGTCTTTTGAGCCAATGTCTGTGTAAAGGCTGGGGTGACCTGGGCTTTTCTGGGAACCAGGCATCCAGTCTGGCCACTCTCTTGATCAGGAACCTGTGAAAGGAACCCGCTTTGTAGCGCAAGTCAGGCAGGAAGGACGGTTCAATGGGATCACATGGGTGCCACCACCACCAGGTGAGCTTTCTTGTTTTCCGCTCAGGTGGTGACAGTATTAACACCTGCTTTAAGGACAGGTGGTCTCAGTGAGGACAGTTTTCTGCTTTTCTTGCTCAGTGTCTGGATGTACTTGGAAAAGCAGTACTTAGAGGAGCTGTTGGGCGGCCCAAGGCCTGGGTGACCTGTTAACCTCAGGGGACATTTTCAAATGCTTACAGAGGAAGACGCTTAGCCCCTGCAGCTGGATGTAGCTAGGTCATTTGACAAGCAGATGACAGAGGTCATCCCATTTTGTAGGTCTTCCTGGAAATTATAATAATTTGGTTTTGACTTGAACATCTTAAAATATTTTGATAGCATTTAAGTTTTGGTCAAAGTTATACACGCCTATGCTTAAAATCCAACAGCTCCCTGGCCATCCCGCTGCCGCTGTGCCTCCTTGGTGAAGCACCTTCGTACAGAGGTTTCACAGACTCGTCTCATGGAGATAGATCTGACCACACAAGGCCAGTTGCAATCTGTGCTTCGACAAGGAAACATATGTAAATAAGAACACAATGTTAAGTTGTTAAGATTTTCCCTGTCGTGGTGAAGATTTCTCTTTTTTTAATTAAAAGGACTATGTCAAATCAAATTTTATTGCTTTCCTTCTTGGTAAACAAAAATGAATTTTCTATGTGCTATAAAGACAGCACCAGATCTTTTTGTCCCTCCTGGTTAAAAGTGCGCTGTTACCAATACTTTGACATTTATCTGCATGATTCTGTAATGAGTTATTCTAGGACACGTGTGGTCTCTGGTCTCTCTGTTCAGCTGTGTGGCTCGTACCTGACATTTGAGTAATCTAACTAATGAGGAGATCAAATACAATAAAAGTTGGAGAACATGATGATCATTCCTTATCCAGAAAAAACGGAGGCCTGACAGAATTTTCATAAGCAACTATAATTCCAGGATCATTTGACCTGTCCATTATGAATCCTCTTAATCATGGTCTCTAGTCGTCATCACATTTTCTCCTGGGAAAGATAAATGAGGCACAATAAAATCCAAGTTTGGCTTGTGGGCATTGGGCGAGTTCTGGTGAAATGCCGGGGGCTGAGCTGCAGGTTTTCAAGACTGTTTATTTTCGAGCCTGCAGATGTCAGGAAGTAACACCTTCGAGCCTTCGTGTCGTTGCTCCTGGTGGTGTCCGGCTGCCCAGGTGTGTCAGAGACAAGACCCGGGAGAGAGGCAGTGTGTGGACTCTGCCAGCCCCGAGGGCCTGCAAGCCCATGCCATCCCTTGAACTCCCTGCCTTAGTCTGGCGCTCTGAATTTTGCACTCGTGGTAACGGTTATCCAGAGGGCTGCGGCTTTCTTTGGAAATTCCAGTCCAGGATTGGTGTGTTCATGGTAACCTCTATCAACAGCTTCATTCCCGAGGACCACAGGCTTAGGGCCTTTTGATGGCAAACCAGTCAGGAATTGTCAACGCCCTTATTCCCTCGCTAAGTCTTGGTGTGAGCAGCAGCAGCCACAGCAGGGAGCCCTAGGACCAAGGGGCTTCCAGGCAGGAGGGGGCCAGGCAAGAATGTGCAGGGGGCAACTGGGTACAGGATCCCCCAGGCAGGGGTCCTTTCCCAGTTGGGGAGACATCTCATTAGGGGAACTGGTCAGAGCTGGAATCCTTATCTCATAGAGAAATGAATATGTAAATTGAATTTGTTGAAGAATTGGGGGAATGACACACCATTCTAGCTCCTAACAAGTGGTAATAGCCAATCAGTCTATTTGTGGGTGAGGTCACTATAGTCAGGAGATGCCACCTACCGAGTATCTGCAGAGGACTCAGAAGGAAGGCTCCCCTACATGACCCCTCCCTGAGGTGATGGGGGTGAATTCCAAAGGAAATCCCCTGGGGTTGACCCTGAAGGGACAAGTGCTGATTGACAGGATTCCTGAAGGCAGCCTCTGTCCAAGGCCCAGAGCTATCTAAACCACACCCGTGAACTTCACCGTGGAGTTTGATGTGTATCTCTGAACTCCACCTCCTATGGCTTCCACGTCTATGCTCCCCACCCCCCAAGTTCACATACTGAACTCTTAACCCCAGGCAATGGTGTTAGAGGTGAGCCTTTGGGAGGTGATGAGATCAGGGGCAGAACCCTCATGAATGGGATTGGTGCCCTTATAAAGGAGACCCCGTAGAGCTGCCTCACTCTCTGTCTTGTGTTTGTATATAGTCAGAAGGTTCCCTGTGTGAGCCAGGAAGCGGGCCTTCGCCAGCTGGGAATTTGTTGCTGCCTTGATCTAGGACTGTGCAGCCTCCAGAACTCTGAGAAATGCATTTCTATTCTTTGTCAGTCACCAGTTTAGGGCGTTTTGTTATAGCAGCCTGAGCTGAAATACCACCATAAATTTCACTCCAGGACAGAAGCATGAGTTCAAGAAGCCATTAGAGTATTTCAGTAAATTATCAGAAGTTGTTTTCTTTTTCTCTCCTGTTCTTTCTGTTGCTGGGGATTGAACCCAGGGCCTTTCACATGCATGCAATACCTCCAACCATCCTTTTTTTTTTTTTTAAGAATTTATGTAGCACAGATTGAGAATCCCTTATCTCCTATCTGAAATACTTAGCAAAACAGAAGTGTTTTGGATTTTGTTTTTCCACCCAGATTTTAGAATATTTGCATATAAGTAATGAGATATCTTAGGGATAGAACCTGAGTTTAAACATGAAATTTACTTGGGTCATATATACCTTATACATGTAAATTGAAGGTAACTTTATATAGTATTTTTCAAAATTTTATGCATGAAACAAAGTTTCACGGTGTGGAATTTCCCACCAATACGTTGGCACTCTAGACAGATCTTGTGCTGGGACATGTTCACTGGTAGAAGATGTGCTTAGCATGTGCAAGGCCCTGGATCTGATCCCAGCACACGCACACATAAAAAACATCTGATGTTTTAGGATTTAGGGTTTCAGATTAGGAATGCTTCAACCTGTATATGTTCAAAAGATAGAGGTTACATAAGGGGAACTCTTGGTAGGAACTGGGATCTGGTTAAATAGAAAGACCAGCATGGACACATTTCAAGCATCTGAGGATTTTAAGTGCCACCAGGCTTTCCTTCCTAAATTCTTATGGCCCAAATGAGGCCAGTTTCTCAACCTTCATGGAGTGGAAAAGACTGTCCAGTGTTACAAAATACAATGAAAAACTGGTGATACCCAGAGAGAGAGAGAGAGAGAGAGAGAGAGAGAGAGAGAGAGAGATTTTGCACCACATTATGCTCTGCATAATATTTTTTAAATGTCCAACTGTTTTTTTCTATTTTTTTAATTTGTCCAACTGTTTTTGTTTCAGAAATATATTCCTACTGAGTAGCACATCAGGTAATTCTCCAAAGAACTTCAAGGGAAAAGAGGCGAGGAAGTCAGGCAGGTTTCATGTTGAATTTTTGCCTGATTCTGAGTTTTAAAAACCTTGATACTAACTTAATACTTTTCCGATTTTTAGGTTTTCTTAAGGGCAAGGTGGCGATTCAACCCAGGTCCTCGTGTATTCTGGGCAAGTGCTCTGTAACTAAGCTGTACCCTCAGCCCTGATTTTTAAATTGAGGTGTATGTGGCTTATGTACACCAAGCTATAAATCTCACTAGGTCACCTATGTCATCCAAGTTGGCCTCCAGCTCCAATCTTTCGCCTTTAGCCTCCCAAGAAGCTGGAACTACAATTGTGTACCACTGTGCCCAGCCTTGAATAAGTCTTAAGTGGTTAATTAAGTATTTCCAGCTGTCCAGAATTTTAATACCGCCTTCAGTCAATCCTTTCCTACAATAACCCACTTCTCTGGCCTCTTCCTATCCTATAGATTACTGTTGTCTGCTTTGAACAATATAAATGGAAATCTTCTGCGAATGGTTTCTTATATACAACATTATGCCTGTGAAATCCTCTTTGTGTGCAGCAGTGCTGTGTAGTATTCCACTCTGCAAATATACTACATTTATTTCTCTATTCTTCTGTAGTACACAGTTGGGTTGTTTCTGGTTTGGGGACTATTTTGAACAGTGCTACTGTGGACATTCCTTTTCTTCTTTTAGTAATGCTAGCCATTCAATTTTCATTGGGTTATACCTAGGAATGAGTCAGAACAGAGATCATAATTCTATTTAACTTAGTGGATACTGTCAATTGGTTTCTGAACTGGTGAATGAGTCTATCTATCTATCTACAGCAATGTATGCAAGTTGGAGTTTCCCCTCAACCTTGCCATGTGTTTAGCTGCCCCTTAACTTCAGGTGGATAGTGTTGTCTCACTGTGGTTTTAATTTGTATTTTCCTAATAACTTATGATGTTGGGCACCATTATGAATATTTTATCCTTACTACTTTTTTCATTTTTCCATGTGTCTTTTCAGTGCAGACTATGTTTACATATTAGAGTAGATCTAGAATTTTGTGCCTTTTTACTTTAATTATTTAAAAATTTGTTATGGCCTTTTTATCTACCCTTTAAAAAGGTTTATTAAATCCTACTGAATTTGCCTAGCATAATTTACTTAGCCATTTCCCTCTTATTGATCATTAGGTTAATTCCCCCCCCCCCACCCCCGTTATTGTCCAGAGAGAGCAGAGCTACACTCGCCTGGCCCTTGTAATGTTTTAGTGAGTGGAAACTCTCATTGGTGGTGCGGGTGTGCTAGGCACTTGAATGTCTTTTACCTCCTTCTCAGTATAATCTGCAGAAGTATTATCTCTGTTTTACAGATGAACAGAGGCCGGGGACACACTTACACGGTGCCTCTGAGAGCCTGGCCCTGGGTGGGGGGTACTCAGGAGCTCTACGTGCCTGCAGGTAGCGCCAGTTCTGCGCTGACCCGACCTGCGCAGAGAGAGGCCAGGTACAGCCCTCGCCCTCGACCACCATGACATTCCTGCTTCGCCGGGTGAAAGGAAGCAAGCGAGACGCATCCGAGCGCGCTTTTAAGTTATGAAGTGTCATGCAAACATGAGTCAGGACTGTGACGACAGTCCCTCACCATCTGTCCCCGCACTCTGCTTCCCTGGAACCATGTCCCCGCTTCCTAGTGTGTGTAACATTTTCATTTTCTCACTTGGGTGAGGTAGCCGGGTGGGCAGGGAGCTCCAGAATCACGTGACATGGGTTGTCACCTGGCTTGCTGCGTGGTGACTGTGTGGTCCCTGGCAAGTTAGTGACGCAGCCGGCCCTTGGTGTCTGCAGGGGTTTGGTTCCAGGACCTCTGTGGAGTCCAGAATCTGTTGATGCTCAAGGGCTTCATGTAAGACGGTGCAGTATTTGCATATGACCTATGGGCACCGCCTGTGTGTTTTAAAGCATCGCTAAGTTACTTACAATACCTAATGCAGAGTAAGTGCTCTGAACATCCAGGTTATGCTGTGTTATTTGGGGAACAATGACAAGAAAAAGGTTTGTACATGTTGACTACAGAAATAACTTTTTTCCCCCAAGTATTTGCAATCTGTAGTTGGTTGAATCTGAGGATGAGTAAGCTCTGGATATGCAGGGCTGACTGTACTCAGATTTTGAGGCTTTTTTAAAAAAAATCTGTAAAATGGTGCTATGGCTTGAATATTTGTGTCTGCCCAAAACTTATATGTTGAAACCTAATCCTTAATTTCCCTTTATTGCCCCTCAGTTATACGGTCAATTATTTTTTTTAGCATTTCTATTTTTATTTTTTAAAAATTTCTCCACTTTTAAAAAGTGGTGTGTGGTAGTCGTAGATAATGGTGTTTTTTTTAAACATCCATCCCTCTTTTTTTTTTTAATATTTATTTTTTAGCTTTCAGCAGACACAACATCTTTGTTTGTACATGGTGCTGAGGACCTCAAACCCGGGCCGCACGCATGCCAGGCAAGCATGCTACCGCTTGAGCCACATCCCCAGCCCAATGGTGGTTTTGTTGTTGCACACAATTTAACACTGAATCTGGCCGATATCCCTTCCCAACACATCCTCCCACCCCGCCTGCCACCCCTCGGGGTCCCTGTCCTGTTCTTCTGACCTCCCTGTGCTTTTCACGTGAGGTTGATTCTTTCTAGTTGAAGTCATGGGACAGCTCACATGTGCTGGTGGGGGACAAACATGTGCATTTCTTCTTCCTTTTGTGCTGGAGAGATCTCTGGCAGCTGAGGTTGCTGCCCCCTGTAAGCAATGGCCTTCTGAACTGGCCACCCATGGTCCAGCCAGTCTGACCTGACTCCTCCCCTGTTAGAGTCCTCAAGTCCTCGTGGGAGGCATGCGTGTCCACTATGGTGCCAGGGACATGATCTAACTTCTAAACCAGATATTTGCCGATCCCCACATTAGTGTGTTGTAGCCCAGATCCATTCCTTTTATCCACGAGGAAGTTAAGTCCTATGAAAGTCGCTAATGACAAGGAAACTTAAAAATGGCACAATTAGAGCCTGAACTCAGGTTGTGTGACTTGAAGTCATCACACCGTTAGCTCCAGCGGTTATTTAAGACTGCTTCTGTAGCAAGAAGACGGTGAGGAGAGTACGGAGCTCGAAACCTGGAGATCTAGGACTGGAACTTGGCTTTGTTTCATGCTGCTTTTGTAAACTTGAGGACACTTGGTATTGTGTCTGCCCAAACCACAAACCATGACTTTGCCTTGCACCACAAACTGCCCCTTGGGCTTGGTGCTGTGCAACCTCACCTTTTGTCCAAGCAACTGGGTGCTACTTTTGATTATTTTTTGAGAAAACCTGGATCCTAACTTCTGAAGGGTCCCCACCTGTATCAGAGCCAGGTGACCGAGTCCAGTTGCCCAGAATAACATTTCTAACACTTCTTTCTCAATCTTGACTTGACTTAAATTATTAAATAACAGTTCTGGGTGTCCCATGGCTTTCAATGTGAATTTGCAGACTCATAATTGTGTCAGTGAGCTTTCCATCACTGTGACCAAAATGCCTGACAAGAACAATTTAGAAGAGGAAAGATTCATGTCAGCCCAGAGTCAGAGGATTCAGGCCATGGTTGGTTGACCAGCCCCAAGATAGAAATATCACGGCGGAAGGGTGTGGCAGAGGAAGGCTGCTCAGGTCATGGCATCCAGAAAGCAGAGGACAGCTGTAGTCGCAAGGCCACACCCTGAGTGACCCACTTCTCCCAGCCTCACCCCAACTGTCTATAGTCACTACACAGATGTCCATTCCAATTATTAATCCATCAAACAGACTAATCGACTGCTGAGTTCCAGCCTTCATGTCCAATCACCTTCCCAAAGTTCCACCTCTGGACATTGCTCAATTGCTTGACACATGAGCTCTTGGGGGGACATTCTGGATCCAAACCATAACAATAATCAGATTCTGCTTTTTGTTTCCTGAAGCCTCATCTTTTGCCTCTGGCAGAAGTCGGTCTTTGGGACGCTCTCTGCACACATGGACAGTCTCATTTTCCTGCCTCTTTCTCTTTCCCAGTGCCAGGTGCACGCACCCTGGAGTGCTGAACATCCCCGGGCTCTCCGCGCTCTCCGCCTTTGGACGTGATGGTCCCTTTCCTTGGAAGGCTCTCTTCCGTCAGGCCCACTGCCACATGTCCTTCAGCCTGAGTTCCCATGTGTCCGTTCCGCGGGGCCCTCCTGACCCTGCTGGCCGGGCTTGTCCTCATCTGTGTGCTGTTAGACGATGATTCACGGGGGTGTTCTTATCTGGCCCTCCACTAACTGTGAGCTCTGCGAGGATAGAAACCTGTGCTACTCGCGTCAGTATTTGCAGGCGTAGAGGAACTGATGGTGTAACACAGCAATTCATGCATATTTGCTGAATGAATAAAGAATGAGTAAGTTCTTTCTGACAAGGGAGGAAAAATATATTGAAGAGGTTATCAGATGGTGGTGGTCAGTACTGACTTAATCTCTGTTAATCAGAAATGAAACTGTAGACTTTTGTAAGTGACTTTAACACAGAGTTCAGCAAGGTGCCTTTGAACTTGAATTTCTAGTTCCTTGGGAATTTAAAATCCCCCCTTCCTTTTGTTTCTGAAACAGCTTAGAATCAAAGGCAATCTGGAATTCAATCTGGTTGGGTTACTACGTAAACCTAGTATTTGCTTGATCCAGGCTTATACTTGAACTTTTAAAAACCACATATTTTATTAAGATCTGAAAGACATTCCACAAACAGATGAAGCAATGTTGCTACCACCCTCATTAAAAAGAGTAAATTTGACATTTTCTTTATTCTTATTTAGAAAATGTTCCCATTTTTAAAAAAATTTTGTTGTTCCATAGCCTCTTTTTTTTTTTTTTTCTTTTTTTTTTTCTTTTTTTTTTTTTTTTCCATAGCCTCTTAAAAATGATTCTTAAAGGTTAAAAATTAAGACTTGTTTCTTTGCCTTTGTTCCTGGACCAGAATCATATATCAACAGAACTGCCTAGTCAGGAATAGCTTGCAAATTGTGCTTATTTATGAAAAATAGTGTCCCCTATCTGAAAAAGCTTGAAGTTCAGGTATCTGTTCTTTTGATAATTTGTGGCCTACTGAAGTGAAGAACCTTTCACTAAGATTTTTTTATTTTATTTTTTATTTGTTCCTTTTAGTTATACATGACAGATAAGATTTCTTTTTATTGTGCTGGTAGAGGAGAATGAAGAAATTGTATCTGTATTCTGTCTCTACTTGAGCGCTGTGTCCATTTCCCTGTAGTAATGGTGGCATAGGTACTGGTCCAGGAGATAATGAAATATGTTTTGGTTTCATTATAGGTGGTTCTCCATAGCCAAGAGCTCTGCATCTGTGATTCAACCAATTGTGGATTGAAATATGTAGAAAAAGAACGTTCTGCTTTTGCTGACGTGTTCTCTATGTTCAGGCCTAGAGTGGATGAATCTGTACTGAATACAAATAGGGGTTTTTTTTTTTTTTTGGTGTGGCGGGTTGTCATTATTCCCTGAGCAAGGCAATATAACAACTATTGACATAGGATTTCCATCTGTTGGAGTTATAAGTGATCTAGAGGTGGCTTAAACTGTACCAGAGCAGTTACATAGGTTATGTGCAAATACCCGACCATTTTCAAAAGGAACTTGAGCATCTGTGAATTTTGGTTCTCGTGGGGGTCCTGGAACCAGTTCCTCATGGGTGTTGAGGGTTGTGTTGCTTTTGTGGCTCATGTTCATAGACAAGTGTGATCAAGTCACGTGGAAGTCTGTGATTGCATCCGTCAGCCATAGCCGCATCACAACCTCCAAATACCATTCCACACGCAAATAACCCTTGGTTCCCCAGTCCTGGTGCAGGAGTCAGCTGAGACAGCTTCGTCTCTTGTTCCAGGCTGCCCAAGTGGTGCTCCAAGTGGCTTTCGGCCTCTCCTGGCCCCAGCAAGTGACCTGAGGCCTGTTTACCTTTTGGTGATGGAAGACCAGAGCACACGCCTCGACATGCAACCACGAGGCAAGTCCCAGTAACATCTTTTGGGCAAATCAAGTCACTCAGTCAAATCAAGTCACTCTGGGCAGAAAATCAAGGACAGGGGAAAGTACACACTGCCTTCTGCGTGGAGGTAACTGCAAGGTCAGTGACAAACAGCATGGCGATAGGGGGAGCGAAGGGTCTAACTGATTCCAGTCTTGTACCTTGACTAAGTACCTTTTAGATGGGGTACATGATGATATGTTTGGTCTACATGAGCTTCTGCGAAAACCTCAATATAGTTTTTTTTTTCTGTATAGTTTTTTTCAAAATAAACTAATTTTAAAACTATAGTAAGGTCACAAGATTTGCTCACACTGGCCTTGGATGTCCAAGAAAACATGCCACGGTCCCATCTCTCAGCTGCAGGTGTTAATTCAGGGAAAAAACTGGTGAGGGGCGATAGGAATTAAGAAAAGACAAACAGACACATATAGGGAGAAAAAGCTGAGGCCAGGTGGGACATCACCCCTGATGGAGGATGATGACCCAGAGCTGGCTCAGTGCATCTCACCAAAAGGTTATTTGTGGGAAAGTTTCAGCAAAGCAGGCAATATGAAGGACACGGCATGGCGAGACATTAGGGCCATCTTGTTATGCTCAGAATTCTCTATCCCTGGGAGTTGGTGCTTGAGCTTAAGGTTCTGACTGATACAGCTCTGTGCCTCTGCACGGTGTCACCATAGCAACCGGTCCATCTTGACCTGTGCCTTTGTACAGGAAGTTCCCAGTGCAAACGCAGCCACGAGGCAATCAGAAACCATGATTCAAATCACCACTGTCCATGAAAACATAGCTTAACTTTTTTTCTAGAATGATCTTAGTCTTTCTCATAAACACCAAGCAGTGAGGAGTGGGGATGGAGTGTTGTCTTTCCTAATAATCGTGGACAGCTTCTTGGTATGTCCGTCTCTCCCCGAAGTCGCTTGGTCTCTCTTGTCCCTACTCTGCTCTCTTCCACCTGTCCAGCCTGGGCATGGGTGATTCGCATGTCCTTGTTGGTGCAAGGTGTCCCAGCACCTCTGGTGGCCGCTCACCCCTCGCACATTTACATCTATGATCCTGGTGGGTCACAGTGTATTGTCTCTCTTCTTGGCTGGGTAGGACCTGGTGGCCCTCCCTGAGTGACAGGACCCTATCTTGCTTCTTCCTGGTGCGCTGAGACCCCCGGGTTCCTACTGTAGTTACCACTTGGCTTGGACAGGGGTCCCCCCAGACTCTGCTCTTGGTTATTCTCCCCTCACTGCGGCAGGCCCCATGCTCTCCTACCTTAGCTGCCTCCTGAGTTCTCCTGGGGACTCAGGACCTTCTGGGTTCCGCCTATGCTCTTGGGAGCCACAGAAGCCTGGGAAAGCAACATCCCAAGGCCCTCCTCTGCTGGGCCATTGAGCTAATCACGGTTCTTCAGAGAGACAGAACCAATGCGAGATTATCTATTTATCTATCATCCATCTAAAAGGAGATTTGTTACAAGGAATCGGCTCTGATGATTATGGAGGCTGAACCGTCAGCCCTACAATCTGCCCTTTGTAAGGTGGAGATTCAGGGAAGCTGTTGGCATAATTTAGCTGAGTCCAAAGGTCCCAAGAAGTAGGGAACCAGATGCTTAAGAAAACATAATTTTAAATCCTTGAACCCCAGTCCAAAGGTAGGAGAAGATGGGGTGAGATGTTCCAACTCAAGCAGTGAAGCGGAAAATAGGAGGGGAGGGTGTGTTCCTCCTCCTTCTACCTTTCCTTCCATTTAGACCTTCAACCAGTAGGATGAGGCCCACCCACGTTGGGGAGGGCCAGTTAACTTACTGAGTCTTGATTCAATGGTAAGTCCATTTGGAAACACCCTCATAGGCACACCCAGAAGTATGTTCAGCCAGGGCACTTTGTCACCCATTTAAATTGACACATAAAATTGAACATCACAACCAACTTGTGCTTCCAGACTTACTGATGTGTCCACTCTCCAGGCAAATGCAGGACAACTTGAAATTTTCAGGGTTCAAGATGAGAAAAGGGTATAGCTCCTCTCTGACCCCCTCTTGTGTCACCTCTACTGGTGTCCCCAAGGCCACTGGCATTCCCAGGTGACCCTCCCTGGTTGAGGGAGGACTCCCATTCTCCCTCCACCTGGAGGAGAGCCTATGGTGGCCTGATTGTCTTCCACGTAGAGGAGGCGACCCCAGCCCATTCGGGCCCCATTTATAACCTTCCGATCCAGCTTTCCCAGAGCCTGTCTTTGTGACCTCGCTGGGCATTTTCCAAGCCATTCATGAAGGTGATCCTTTGATGGGTGGTTCTTTCTGTGGCTGGGTTGGACGGCCTGTCTGCCAGCACCCGGCAGTGTCCACTGAAGGGTCACAGCAACTCTGTGGGGCTCCGTCATGTGGACGGTAGAACCCTGAAGAGAGAGAGCATGAAGTTAAGCTCCCCGATCCCCACCCACTTCCCACTGGGGTCGTCGGGAGGGCTCAGGGTCTGGGAGCAGATGGATCAAGCACGAGGTCAAGGTTGCCAGAATCGCCGAAGGAGGTCGGTGGCTGCCGAGCTTCTGTGCATGGCCCAGAGCATCCGGGGACTGAGAGGTCTCTTGCTCCCCTGGGCCCCCTGGTTCTCCGAGTCCAGGCTCCCTGGCTCCTGAGCACGGGGAGGGCAGGAGGATCTGCGGCTCCCTTCCACCTCGGGAAGCCTGGCCCTGTCCCCAGGACATTCGTGTCCCCATGATTGGAGGCAGTTGCTGGGCACCTGTGAAATGCGCGTGCGTGGGGGGTAGCAGAGGTGGCGGGCAGGGCTGTGGGCAGAGCCAAACTCCTCGGCCTCCCTCAGGGGGTTGGTCTGCTCAGGCTTTTGAGGACACGCAGGCCACCGGGCAGACCCACTTTCAAAGATAGCTCAGGACAGCCAGGGCGGGAAGGTAGGTCAGGGCGCATCTGTACTCGCAAAGGGGCTGAAATACTTCCTTTCCCTGTGCAGGGATGACGCAGAGAGAGGAGCAGGGCGCACGCAGCCATTCTTTTTTAGCGCTTTCTCAAATTGATTTTAGATTTGGGAATTATAGTTTCTAAAAGAAATAGAGCAGTGGACAGTGGCTTCCGGTAGAGCCACCCAAGTGTCCTTATATAGTCTTGAAAATCATGTCATCGGAAGCTCCCCATGTGACAGCAGGCAGTGACATTCAGTGTGGACCAGATGGGGAAAGGCCTGTCAGACTTTGTGGGCATTCTGAACAGTAGGCTATTTTAGAAGAAGAGGCTCTGTATTTTCTTTCATGTTTTGGTGATTCAGGCATGCAAGCTGTTTATGGAACCATCATGAACAGAGGGCCTCTGGTACCCACTCCCCACCCATCCCCACTACCCTGCTGTGGAAACTGTCCGCTGTTGGCTTTTCACCCTGCCAGGTTCCACAGGGGCATGACCTCCATAGACCACCAGTGGGTCTGTTGGCTGCTGGTTTCTAGGGGAAGAGAACAGGATATGGGGACATGGGAGGGTGAGAAGGATAAGAGGGCAAGGGTGTCTCAGTCCCTTTTCTGTTATTATAACAGAAGGCTACAAGCTGGGTAATTTATAAAGAAAAGAAAATTATTTCTTTTCTCCGTGTTGTGTCATCCTGTGTTGGAAGGTGGAAGGCAAGATCACACGCGAGGGCCAGAGGGGCTGTGTGAGGAAGGCTCTCCTGCAGCAACTGCAGACACCCATTCACGAGGGCAGAGTCCCACCAATTAACACTGCTGCATTGGGGATCAAGTTTCTACCACATGAACTTTGGGGGATACAGCCAGACTGTAGTAGAGGGTGATGGGAGGATGAGGGAGATGGGAGGGAGAGACAGTCATTGGTACTGGCCCCTTGCCGTGCTCTGGGGGTCCAGCATGGCAGTAGAGGCCTATCAGAACCTCTGGGTTCTGGAGAGCCGGCCCAGCTCCCTCCTGCCTGAGGAGGTGGCTTCCTGTTCCCACCCAGCACTGCACCCTGGATGCTTTCCTCTTACGTCACCTGCAGCCTCGTCCAAGTCCCTTTATGAAACTCTCTTTGGAGCGTCCATCTGTTTCCGCCGGAACCCTGACCAAGGTGCCCAGTGCCCTCCTAACCTGCTACTTACCTGTACATATTTCAGGTTTCCTCTCCAGCATGTCCACGAGGACACCTTGGTGTTTACGAAGCCGTCCTCCCCAGTTGACGCCCCCCTCCCCTGGGTGCCTCCTGCCCCCCTCCAGTTCTTTTTGGGTCTTCTTCAGAAGCATCGCTGAGCATCGGGGCCTCTTCTCCCTCCCCTCCTTTCTCACACCCTGGTTTTAATTGGGAGAAGGAATTAACCCGAGTACTTCCTGGATGGACATCAGGTGCCTTATCCCACGATTCACTTGGATGTCCCCCCAGTGTCTCCCCACGGGACACCCAAGCGCGGCTGGGGCTGGGAATGAATTATCTGACTCTCTACAGCAAGTATGTGCCACTGTCCCCGTTTCATAGCTGAGGCGTCTGAGCCTCGGAGAAGTTAAATACAGGGCCCAGGTCCCTTTCCTGCCTCCCACTCTGGGCTCTTCCATCTGTAGGTCAGTGACAACCCAGCTCTTGTGTTGTGTATTGCTGAACTTGAGTTGAACTTAGCTTCATGTTTTCTAAAAACCGCCAGCCTGGCTTCAGGGGCTTGGGCTGGAGTGAGCTCTTTTTGCCAACTCATTCATCAGAGCCGCGTGCCCGCCCCTGACTTTGAGCTTCGGTCTGCTCTGTAATTCTCTGCGATTCTAAAAATTACCCCTGACTCCCTCAGGGCTTCATTTCAGACTCATGGTATCTTGACAATGCATGATTAATCTAAAACTAGAGCAGCAGGATTCATTCCAGAGATTTCTTTTCATTGCACAAATTAGAAATAGGAATCATTGTATTGTCTTCCCTGCAAAAGGAAGAAGATATACGTAAACCTTCTCCAGTGTGTAAACACATAAGCTGTGGCCTCTGAAGCCAAATCATCACTATTATTTAGTGAATGTGACCTGTTCAAGGAACAAAGAATGGAGACTGGGGCCACCATCTGGATTAAGCCTTGTCTTGGGAACGCAATAGCTCTCGTTTTAAAATCCCGCTGGGTGATCTTGGGCAT